CAATTAAGAGTTGATTGGTTATTTGTTTTGAAAACTAAACTTAGAGGTCCTATCAAGATTGTTCAGGATGAGAACAATGACACAAGTATGATAAATGAAGTCTTTCAAGCTAGTGAATTGGTTGAACCATACCGAGTTGCTTCTTCGATTGACTTAGCAAAAAATTTGAATTTTCGTGTTTTCAATAATAGTCTTGTTGATATTAATGTAGAGGAGCTGAATGTTGTTTTAAGTCTAGTGGACTAAAGAATGTTGATGAAGAAGATGATAACCATATTGAAGAGTGCAATGAAGCTGATAACAATTCAATTTAGGACAAAGACGAAAATTCTAACTAAATATGCTGCAAAGCCTTTATGATATAATATTATGGATGATATTTTGGAATATAAAATATTTATTTTATAATTTTTTGCTCTTATTATTTTGTTGTACGTGCTGTAATTTTGCAGTTTAAGCTTTTATACAAGAGGATAGACAGTTAATACAAACAAAACATGCAAAAACTTGACAAAACACCAATAGATAGACCAACAAAGCAAAACAATTAGAGTATTTTGCAACAATCACCGACACTATACCGAAGAAATATGGCCTGTCGGTATTTTAACAAGAGTTGCATAAAATTACAGCATTTTGCCATAATCACCAACAGATCTACTAATAAAATATGGCCCGTCAATATTTTACCAAGAGTTGCAAAAAAATTAAAACCCTTGCCAAAATTATCGACGAGTCTACTGACGTAGTCACCAATGGATAAAACATATTCCAACGCGTACGACTATCAGACTGCCCGCACAATTATTGAAGGATTTGTCGATGAACACGAAAAATCCAATGCGCTCATTCTCTAACACATGGTTACCGACAAACATCAAAAAATATAGAGGGATTTTCTGAATTTTGGTATGAAAATAAATTAAATATCGACGGACATTACCTGTGGAATTTAATGCCACCACCCAAAAAATATTATTTTATTTTTCCATCGGTAATGCTATTGGAAAAATTATAGTATAAAACCTATACCTTTATGGTTCATTTTTTTCTTCATTCCTCATTTGATCTTCTCTTCTCCTCTCCGTTTTGTGTTTTGTTTTTGCAAGAATTGGTATGAATTTTTATTGTTTTAATTGTAGCTTTCAACATATTAAAAGGCATGTATTCTTCTTTCTTTATCTTTGTATTTTGTTATTTTGTTATTTTAATTATGATTATTTTTGTGGTGTTTTTTATTTTGTGCATTGTTTGTAGATAAAATCTTGAAATCAACACACTATTAAGGTAAGGTAAATATTTTTCATTCCTGAAGTCTTTAGTTTTTTTCTTTTTATTTTTTAAATTTATTTTATTATTTGTTCTGCCATAATACCTTGAAAATTTAGTTAAATTTGAATTGTTATTGTTGAATTTACCTTTAAAATGTTAATTGAAATATAGAATTAAATTTAATTAGTTTATCTTAATTTTATTATATGATTGTTTGTTATTTTTTATTATTTCAATTAATTTTTATTTTTATTTATGAATTTATATAGATGTTAGTTGAAAATATATAGATTTTGAATTTCTATAGATGTTAGGTTGTATAGAGTTGATTTTGCAATGTTTGTGTAATTATCAATATTTGTAGGTGTGAAAACTTTGGATAGTCTTTAATATAGGAGAGGTATTGGTGAATTTTTTTAAATAATTTAATTTAATTATTTAATTATTCATATAAATTTATGTAGATATGTTGAATGAAAAATTTAATTATTTTATTGTTTGTATTATAATAATTATTTGATAATTTAGTCTCTTTTAATTGTTATTGTTGAATTTTCCATGGAAATGGTAATTGGAAATGAAGAATTAAATTTCTTGTTTTATCTCAATTTTATTCTATTATTGATTGTTATGTTTTTTATTATTTCCATTAATTTTAATTTTCATTTATATATTTCTATAGATGTTAGTTGAAAAAATATAGATATTGAATTTCTATAGATGTTAGGTTATGTATAAGATTTTCCAATAGAGTCAATTGGTTTGTGGTTATTGTAAAGATTTGCAAGTTTGAAAGTTGTCGATAGTCACTAGTATAGGAGAGGTGCTGCTGAATTTTTTTAAATAATTGAAGTTAATTATGTAATTATTCGTATAAATTTGTGAAGATGTGTAGAAGAAAATCTACAGTACATCGTCAACAAATGATTGCAGCTAGTTCTTCTAGCAGCGAGGAGGACGTATCCTTAGGTACTGATCACGGCGAAGCATCTGTGCCAACTTGTGATGTTGCCTCTTCTAACACAATTTCACAGAGCAAAGACGGCGTGCCTTCACAGCGGGGTCAATTCACACACAAATATCAGGCATAGCGAAAGGATGACCTTTCATTATCAGTTTGTTTAGGTTTTAGTTTTTTTTATATAATTATAACATAATTTATAAACAACTAGTTAATATTTTTTAATTTTATTTAATTTTAAGTTCACAAACATTGAGGCTGTCCAGACAATAATATCAGCGTTTAAATCGTTGATGGAGATTCTATTGTTTCAATGGAGTCAGGTTGCCAAACATCCTAAATGGAGATCTAATATCCATGCATGGTTTCGACAATTTCAAGTAGGAGTTAACTTTTAATTTTCAGCTTATTTTTAATAAATTATTTTTATAATTTTATATATTATACAATTTTTATTTTAAATGAATTATTTATACACAACATAAATTTGAGTGGGATAGCACAGATAACAATGTTATGAGGAGGGTATTGAAGAATCATGCAGTAACTAGGTAACATAAAAAATAATATTATTTTTTGTTTTATAATTTTCTGTTCTAAATTCTAATTTGTTACTATGGAAGTAGGCTGTATGATTTTTGGTATGACTCGTAAAAAAAAAAGCAAAAAGATATATGAGAAATAACGATCTTGAAGAATGGAATGAGGTGGCGGTTTGGTGGGAAATCAAATCGCATTCATCTCAGGGGATATATGGATGCAATATATTGAGCACGCGACGTTTGAGCGGTTTGCCCGACGCTCACAATCCAGTGCCAACAACCAGAATTGGCAAATTCATGGTTCGGTGACCACGCACATCGACGACTTCGTCTCGTTCAATACATATGCAAAGCGGATGGTAAGATTAATTTAAATAACATATATCATTAATTAATTTATTGTTGCTTACAAATATATTTAACTTGCAATCTTTTTTTTCCTTACAAGTTACGTCTCTTGGATGTGAACCGAGCCTAATGGAGCTATTTGTAGAGACGCACGTGCGAAGTCAAGATCGCCAAAAGGAGGTGCAACAGTTCATGGACAACCATGTTTAACACTTCATGATATATTTGTTCAATCATTTTATTTTGTAAGTTATTATTTTCTTAAAATAAATATGATGATTTAAAAAAAAATTAAAAGACCTATAATAGCCGGTTGAGGGAGAGATATCGGAACGATCCTTTGACCCATTCGGATTTCGATCTAGATTTATGGATGGAGGTAGAATTGTCTAATAAAACCAATAAAAATCGGGTCTATGGGCTCTCCAACACTACAACCAAAAACTTGCAGTCGACCTATAGTGTCTCAACCGCTGAGAGCTCTCCATCAATATCGAGCACCCAGTTTAAGGAGTTCATGGCCTTGAAAGAACAATATAAACGACTCTCAATGAATTATGATCAGCTCCGTCAAATAGTCATGGAGATTAGATTAAGGATGGATAATGATACATGTGCAGCCTCTTTTTAGCAATACGATCATGCGAACAACCAGCTTCCTCTTCCTCCTTCTCCTCTAACTCCGCCTTTATTCTAATTTAATTTTGTTTTAGAAACATATTAAACTTGTAATGAATATTTGGATGAATATTATTTAACATTATTTTTATATTTTTAATGTTTAATACAATTTTATTTGGTTAATTAGTTTTTTTTACTACTAATAATAATTTTTTAAAATATTTTACATCAATATCGATGATTTTATAGATAGAACCAAGCCATCAGTATTTTACCGAGAGTTACAAAAAAATCACCACCCATGCCTCAATCACCGACGTAATATATCCGTCAGTATTGCATAGGAAGTTCTGAAATATTTACCATTAATACCACAATCACCTATAGTCATTCCATCAGTTATTACTATTAAAAATATAGATGAAATTATTCAATAGGTACATTTCTCATGGGAAATATTTTTTGGCGCACTTCACCGTCTGTAAGACCATTAGTGTTTGGTTTTTTAGTTTCCGACAAATTAATTAGCAATGAAAGGGGGAATTACTGACGATTAATATTCTAACAGATAAATTTTGTTGATAAGGTTGTTGATAAAAATTGTACCGATGAATTACGTGACTTTATATCGACAAAATAAATCCGTCGATAAAACTATTTGGTGGTGTAATGGGTATATTTATTCGCATAATTATCTGCATTTCCTGCTGCTTCTGCTAGCTGGTAAATAATGGTCTTTATAGACGGTGTAATCTCTAGCAAGTATCAACCACCCTATTTCCTTTCTTAAATGCTGCTAGAAACATTGGGTAAGCTACTAACTGTGAACTAACTCTAATGGCTTTCTATTTAAGAAGGCGAATGTAATTTTGAAGGTTTGAAGTCAAAGGTTCATTCATATGTACTACATTCATTGTAACAGATATCTAAAAATTGATTAAAAATGCGTGCATGGCATGTATGATAATAATTTGGATGGATTTTTTTTTTCTTTTTTGTAGGAAACTACCCAATAATCCCCTCGCCCACTAGGAGCTTGAAAATAGATATAGTTTCTTTGCTCTGTGCCTCTGTCTTGCACTGATCCAGTACCTAAGGCGTGACAAGAGCATGAATTGGTAATAAAGTTGACGGCAAAGTTGAACGCAACCAGTTGGTGGGAGTTGAGAGATGGAAATGAATCTTAAACATCTTCACGTGTACAGCTCGCACATCCCCTTCTCTTATAAGATCACCTGCTTTCATTTCATGACTCCCATCTTATAAAATAATAATACTGGCACACCAAACTCTCAAGTCCCATCTCTCTCTCTCTGTTTCTTTCAAAATTAAACAATGGATGTTCCCATGTTAGTATATGCTTTTCTCATCTTCTATCCCCTCTTCATCTTATGGAGGCGGATTGATAGGAAAAGGGACCGAGAATGTTATATACTAGACTATGAGTGCCACAAACCAACCGATGACAGGAAACTTGACACAGTGTGTTCTGGGCAAGTGATAATGAGGAACAAAAATCTTGGTCTGAACGAGTACAAGTTTCTGTTGAGAGCTATTGTGAGCTCTGGAATTGGCGAGCAAACCTATGGCCCCAGGATCATATTCAACGGTCAAGAGGAGAACCCTACATTACAAGATTTAATTTCGGAGATGGAGGAGTTCTTTCATGACAGCATCGGAAAGCTCTTGGCTAGGTCAGGCATAGCTCCTAAAGAAATCGATGTTCTTGTAGTTAATGTTTCCATGCAGTCTATTGTCCCTTCTTTACCCGCTATGATCATAAATCACTATAAACTAAGGGAGGATGTTAAGGTTTTTAACCTCACTGGGATGGGTTGTAGTGCAAGCCTTATATCCGTCAACATTGTTCAAAACATTTTTAAGACTTACAAAAACGCTTATGCGCTTGTTGTCACCTCGGAGTCTTTAAGTCCAAATTGGTATGCAGGCAGTGATAGATCGATGATTCTTGCAAATTGTTTGTTCCGATCTGGTGGGTGTGCCATGCTCTTGACTAACAAAAGGGCCTTAAAGCAGCGTGCCATGTTCAAATTGAAGTGCCTAGTCAGGACACACCACGGAGCCAGAGACGAGTCGTATAATTGTTGCCAACAAAGAGAAGATGACCAAGGGCACTCAGGGTTTCACCTGGACAAGTCACTCCCAAAGGTCGCTACACGAGCTTTGGTCGACAACCTTAGAGAAATAACCCCTAAGATCTTGCCTGTAAGGGAGCTGCTTAGATTTATGGTGGTGTCATTTATTAGGAAATGTTGGAGCCACAGATCCACAAAAGGAGCTGGTTCTAGTCCTAAACCTGTGATAAATTTCAAGACAGGTGTTGATCACTTTTGCATTCACACTGGGGGTAAGGCAGTGATCGATGGGATTGGCGTTAGTCTTGATCTCACCGAGCATGACTTGGAGCCAGCAAGAATGACTCTGCATAGGTTCGGCAACACATCTGCGAGTAGTCTTTGGTATGTTTTGGGATACATGGAGGCCAAAAGGAGGCTAAAGAAAGGAGATAGGGTTTTGATGATGAGTTTTGGTGCGGGCTTTAAATGCAACAGCTGTTTGTGGGAGGTGCTTAGAGACTTGGGGGGTGCAGGTAATGCGTGGACGGACTGCATTGATAGCTACCCACCAAACTCATTGATCAACCCCTTCTTGGAGAAGTATGGATGGATTAACAATGAAGACGATCCCAGCACTTTTGTATTCCCTTCTCCTTCTCCTTCTCCTTCTCCTTCTCCTTCTCCTCCTTAAGACATGGGTCAAGGTTTTAACTTCTTCGAGCTTCACATATTTATTCCTCAAATCCTTTTTCCTTTTTTACTACTCTCATGATCAAAAAAGGCCATATCTTCGTTCCTCTGTATTTTTATTTTCTTTCCTAAAAGCTACGTACACCACTAAATTAAGCTGTTATATTGTTGAATCCTCCGGAGGATTTCATAACCCAATAAGGTGTGCTGCTTCCAATATGATGAGAAGTCATCCTGTTAGAGGGCTGTAATCCTTTTCTAGTTTTTTTTTTTTTTTTAACTTTGCTTTGTTTTCACCGATTGATTGTTTAACGGTACTGTCTTATTTGTTTTTCCCACAAAGAGTTTGTATTAATCTTTCTCTTTCAGAATAGAAGAATTGCTTTCAAACCGTCCTCCCCTGCACATGCTGTTGTCCGCATTCTTTATTGCAGGAAGCGTTATCATTGGTAGTACACCTGTGAACTTTCACTAGTACAGTGATATGGTTATTAACCTTCCCCAAAAAAATCCCTTTTTTGACATGCCGTGTGTTCCAATCATCCAAGGAATAAAATATTTTATTTATTTTATATATTTATTTTATCAAAGAAGCCCATCAATATAAAATATTTATGGTTAATTTATTAATCTAATTTATTCATGAAAAAATATTTTCAGAAATTTCATAAAATACTTTAAATAATAATGAATTTATAAAAAATAATCATTACTAATGCTGACATCATCATCACCTTTTTATATCTTCTTCATTGCCATCACTTTTTTTATTATTATTATTGTTATAACAAATATTTAAGGTCATTGATTGATGTTTATTACAAGAACAAACGTGTCCGCTCGAGGATTTCCAGGGAACTCATTATTGACGAGAGACATAAATGGTTTCTAAATTATCCATTTAAACTAGAATTAAAGGACCTTAAAGACAATGACAATGATGAAGCACTAGCTTCCCCTGTCATCACTCGACGAGGATGAAAATCAAGAGAAGATAATTGCAAGAAGTTGATGAGGATCTCAAGTTGAGTTTGATACTGGTTGACAACAAGAGAAACAAAGTTTTTAGAAGATATTTAAGAATATTTTTTTAAAATGTACTTTACTTATCAATAAATTAAAATAATATTTTTTAATTTTTTTAATTTTAACATTTTTATATCAAAATGATACGAAAACACTAAAAAAAATTAAAATGAAACAAAAAAATTAATTTTTTAAAATATTTTTAAAATTAAAAAACAAATAAAGTTTTAATATCTAAAGCTAAAAGTTATTATTAGTGCAAAAGAGTTGATCATGTCATGTCACTTATGATTTTGATAGTTTTTTTTTTATATAAATCCTTCGGGGTATGCTCTTGGGTTATCCAATCTTAAGATTGTATGCAATAATGTTAAAAATCTTTGCAATCCATTTAACAAAATGAAAACCTAAAAAATTTAGATTTTTGTAATTAAGATTAAAGATTAACCAATAATTTCACATCATTAAAATATTTTTATATTTAAATTAGTGATTTAGGTTTAGAAAAAGAAAAAATGGTGTTGGGAAGAAATAAATCTCACATGAAAAGAAAGAAGGTAAGATGTGTTGTTTGATTAATTTTTTAATTCAATATATATAAGAGTAATTTTATCATATTTATTAACTCATAATATATATAAGAGTAATTTTATCATATTTATTAACTCATAATATAATTTGTAATGTTATTTTTTAATATTAAGTTTATCAAAAATTAAATTTTATAATTTAATTTTTATTAAAATATTACAGTCTCATGACTCGAGTCAATTTAATAGGTTGTAATATCAATATTAAAAAAAAAATTGTTAATAATTTATTTTAGTTAAACTATCTTTTTATTAGTAATTTAAATTGTTTTAATTTATCAAGTTGACTATATTATATCAAATCAATTCATATATATTTTTTATTAAAAAATATATAAACAATATCTAAATATTTTTTATATTAAAAAAATTAATTCAACCTTCATCATAGTAACACTCAATAATAATGTAATAACACTCAATAATAATCTAGTTACTGGATTTAAGGTTATAAATCAAAGTGTGTCTAACGTTACGTTTTGGAAGTATTTTTTAAAAAATAAAAAAATATTTTTTTTAAATTAATATTTTTAATATTTTTAAATTATTTTAAAAATATTATTATAAAATAAAAAAATATTTTAAAAAATTATTATTATATCTACCATTATCACTACTGTTACTATAACTGTACCGAACAAACTTCAAAGCTGCCTCGATATCCTTGGCATAAAAAAAGGATGTTAGGTATTAATTACCGTCTGAGGATCCATTCAATCACGAGCAGCATAGGGGTGCACGAACGTACTTCTTTTGTCTTCAATTGTCTTACCTTTTTACTTATCCCGGCTCTAAAATGGAAAATAAATAAACCAATAACTTCCCATGTAATGTCATTTTAGTTCATTAGACTGTACGATATTATTATGATGTATAATGTTTTTTTAATATTAGTATATCACTTTCATTAAAAAATAATTTAATATTTCTTCAAATATAATATATTTTTAAAACACATAAAAAAATAAAAGCTACTAAAAAACCCTCACTAAATAGCAATACATACGGTCACATCGTGTCCAATCTTCAGAAGCGTTCCCGAATATTTATAAATAGTTGGATTCTTAAAGACAACAACAGACTACTTTTGTCAGCCCGGTAAAATTATTATGTCAGGAAGACAATCTGATAGTAACTAACTAATTATGTTTCAAAATCCATATTAATTGAGGTATGAGGGCAGGGCTAAAAAAGGACATTGAGAAGTTTCCGTGTAGTGAAAAAGGACACCAATAAAATCCTTAATTAGAAAAAAGAAATGTGGATTCCTTGTACTAGAAGAAGAAAATAAAAGAAGTGGGTTCGTTACTGGCAAAAGCAAAATCCTCGTAATAAATTAAATTGGACAGTTAACTATAATATTCTATAAGGGGTTTTTATTATGTTTTAAAAGTATTTTTAAAAAAATTTAAAATTTTTTATTTTTTTTATTTATTTTAAATTAATATATTTTTAGTATTTTCAAATTATTTTAAAATATTGATGTCAAAAATAATTTTTAAAAAATTAAAAAATATTATTAACATGTATTTTAACGTAAAAAATTATTTGAAAAGCAAATAAAACTATATTTTCACACAAGTTTTTAATTGAGTGTTTTGTAACACGGGTATAGAATATTTAAAAAAAAAATTAAAAAATACATTAAAATAAATTTTTAATTTTTAACATTATCATATTACAATCATAAAAAACATATATAAAAAAATAATTTATTATATTTTTAGATGAAAAACAGTTTGAAAAATAGGTTAAATCAAAAAATAAAAATACAATGATAAACAAACACATGGAATCAAATGCAATTATAAAAGATGGGTTAGTCTTTGAAGAATTTGAGGTATGTTCTGTACATTAGAATTCGAGGGTTGAGTTTAAAAGAGATCATAAGAATTTATTTATTTATTTGTGATACACTGCGAATGATTGATTTATCTGAGATTTTATTGAAAACAATTTTTTGGAGAAAAGTGCACTTTTGTCCCTTGACGACTAGCCAATTCTTGATTAATATAAGAGTTTTCGAAGTTTATACAACCATGGTAATTGATAATTATGAATGCAAGAAACGTGTTTAAATGTATTTGTTAATTAAGAAAATAAAACGCACTGTTTAGTAGAATCTTCCCCTTCATCCTGCCCATGGGATTTCTGGTAGAATAAATATTTTAGATTAGACTGGACACCTTCATCAAACAGTTGGAGTGCGTGGGGAATGTAAATGGATATAACAGACTCCAAACTTGTGCTCCCATGCCCATCTGCCCTCTCGCCTTCTCAGGTCCTCCCTGTTCTTTGTTTCTACCATTTTAAGCTGCATTATTTTAAAATTTATAGCTGTGGTTTAAGTTGTCAATTTGTTGGATTAAGGTATCTGTGGTTTTTGATCCATCTTGCGATAGAATCCCCCATCCTGACACTGAATTAGAAAACTCCATTTTTGAGGTAAGTTAGTTTTCTGAATTAATTACATCTGTATTGTAATAAATGCCATGCGGAATCCATAGAATTCTTTATCTGACTGTTATCTTTGCTGGGGTTTAAAGATATGGGATCAAAGGGTACAGAAGAACGCATCTTTGTACAATGGGGAAAAGTTCCGGGCATGTTGTTCTAAATCTTCAATAATAAATAATAATTATGTGGTTTTTGTTGTTTTTTAAAATGTATTTTTGTTTGAAAATATATTAAATTAATATTTTTTATTTTTTAATATTAATATATCAAAACATCTAAAACACTAAAAAATAATTTAATTTAAAGTACTGCATAAAACTAAGATACAGGATACAAGCCTATGAACCATTGATGAGGACTTTGTGATTTTTTGTGCTATTCATCATTTTATTAAACCTTCGCTGTTACTCCCAAACAGAAGGATCTTTAGAATGCTGCTGTTTGCTTGCATTTTGATGCTTTATATTACACAACGATTTCTTTTGCCAATGCTGTCGACTTGATATCGAGCGCATTTGGCAGTATTCTCTTGAGTTTCTATCAAGTTTCAAAATGGATTGTAATTTAATGTCTCGTGTTGTAAAATGCAAGAGGAACCATAATATTGATGAGAATGGGAATTTAATAATTGGACTGATATTACAAATAAAACTGGGATTCCATTACAGCGTTTGATGCAAGACATAATTGTTGCTATATGCAGCAGACAGAATTGATGCCCTGTATTTGTATAACATATTTTAGAAATTTTAATGCATTTTATTATCTTTTCTTATGAATTGCTGTTCTTGTTAATAACTTCCTAGTATGGAGGATACACTCTATCCAACAGAGCAGGATCAGAACAAGATCTTCATGCCTGCCTCCACCTTGGTTTGACAGATTACAGGTCTCCCTCCCTCCCTCTCTTGTGTATGGGAATGGCTTACAACCTCAGTTCATAAATTCTTTCTATTACTTTTCTAGAGCAAACTGATAGCTGTAAATCAACTCGCACATTATACTCTTAATCTCAACCAGATGACACTTGGGCATCATGTTCAGGCGCACACTCATGATACTTGGTCAATGATCTCATGCACATATTATCCTTCGATGCTACAACTCTTGCTGGAGGCGAGACATTGCAAATTTACTAAACATCCCTCCCTTCATATTGACTGGACATGAGTTCTGTGTCAGCTTCTTTAGTTTTCATTGCAGTGGGTTGTCATAGGTTAAGGTGGACAGATATAATTTTCAAGCTGGATGCCAGTGTCAAAATTATTTTTTCAACCAGCCTTTCATTTACTGGGTTTTTCATTTTTCCGATGATTGGTCTGAAGCTGCTTCTAAATTTGCTTATTAATGAGTGGACTATTGCTCTTGGTGTGAGCATTTTACTGATGTTTGAATTTCAGTAATTGAAATGTAGCATGATATATTTATGCTTTTTATTTTTCCTCCCCCATAATGAAGAATCAACGATATCTGCCTGCTATCCAGGGTTTTTATGCGGACATACTTAAATCCTCTTTGGGATAAGTTACTCCTTCCATCAGAAGGTATCTCTTCATTCATATGAAATCTAACGGAAGAGGATTTGTCCATGCTTGCTTTTTATTGTTTGACACCTTATTTTATTGCTTTGCTAGCACCTCAGTGTTGGAGGGTTTTTATTAGGAGAAATGATGCATATGTCTTCTGTTCGAAAATTTGTATATTTAAAGTTGAATGAAATCAAGCAATAAATGATTGGTGATGAATTTTATCGAGAATACATTAGAGACACCACCTAGATTCTTTATTAAAAAAGTTATCTTGTCTGGATTTGTCAACCTGGGTATCTCGTAGAATTGTAATATTTTTTTAGCTCAGGATATCATTTTGAAAAAAAGTTTTGGCAGCTTTGATTTTTGGCAGACGACCCAAAACAGTGTCAACACACCTCAAGTCCATTGGGTAATGGTGCAATTGTAGAGACATCTGACCAGAAAATAGAAGTGTTACAAAGAAGTTATAATGTAGGGGAATTTCCTGGACATTTTGTTTTCCCTGGAGGCCATCCAGAGGTATGGAGTCTGAAAGATGAAACATTTGCATTCTGATGCCTGTTTGCCCTTTTAGATTTCATTTGCATTTGCATTTGCATTTGCTCGTTTTTCAACAAACAAATGCTAGTGAGTGCTGGCAATGGATGGATAAAATGAACAAGTAAAATGAATAGGTAGCATGAATTCTAGAATGTCCTGCATCATGACTGCTATGAAGATGCTGTAAAATGTTATGCTGCAAAACCATAACATTTCCCACCACCAATCTGCCATGCTCCCTGAGTTGGTTATCTGACCAAGTATACTTGTTAGCTGAAGCAGCGTCGTTCTTCAGATTTTGAATCAGTTTATGTATGGGCAAATCAGCAGTTGTCAAAAAGATTTTTTTTACATCTCTTCTTATCAGACACCATGTTATCTCTTCTTCTTTTTTACATCTGTTTTTATTTTTATTTTTTTAAGAGTAGTTTTAACTTGAAAAAATATTAAATTAATATTTTTTTAATAATTTTAACATGTTAATATAAAAAATAAAAAATAAATTATTTTAAACTCTACTTATCTATTATTGGATTATCACCCTACTTAAAAAGGTTGATTTGTCAGTTATAAAATTTAATTGAAAAATTAGCTTAAAAAGTTATTAATAAATCTCATATAATGAAAGGAAACAAACACCACTCTTTAAACATTATTTAATAAATAAATCATGTGTAAAACAAAATAATTAAAAAAAAATTATTTCCACCCATAGTTAGACATCAAAGCTAATGATAGGAAAAAGTAAAAAAACTAAAAAACTTATTAAATTAAAAAATTGTAAAAAAATTATTAAAAAACTGAATTGTGAAAAAAACCAACCAATTTAATTTGATTTTGATTTTATAATTTTAAAACTGAAACAGTAGATCCAAACTCAAATTTAAAAAATTAAAAAAAATTGAATCAAATAAGAAAAAATCAAGTTAAGTAAAAAAATCAAGTCAAATAAAAAAATCAATCTAAACCCATTTAAACTTATTTTTATTATAAATAAAAACTAATTAGTTTGAAATAATTCCATTTTGATTTCAACTTTTTAAAAAAATTAATTTAATTATTTTTTTAATAAAAATTAAATTGAATATAAAATAACCATCCCTTGCTAACGAATAACGCCGCACATAGTTGAAGGCCCATGACTAAGGTACCGTACCAGTCTGTTTAGGAGAGCTTTACTGTTTTTAGATTATTTTTTTAAAAAAAAATATATATATATATATATATATATAATATTAAATTAATATTTTATTAGTAATTTTGTTTTATAATTTTAAAATGATATTAAAAATAAAAAAACATTATTTTTTTTTATTTTTTTTCAAACTCAGACTGCAACAAGCAAACAGGGACTTGAATTGAACAGAAAACGAAAACTCTCTCTCTCTCTCTCGATTTTCCTCCATTGAATTCAATCAAAATGGACGCAGAATTGTTAGAATTGGCGAGACAATTTGAGTCCGCGCAGCAAGCGAAATCGAGCATCCGATTATCTGAAAGAAACGTCGTCGAATTAGTCCAAAAACTCCACGAGCTTCACATCATCGATTTCGACCTTCTCCACACTGTCTCCGGCAAAGAATACATCACTCCTGTATGTATTATCGTCTTCGTCGTCGATTTTTACACTTTTAATTTCTTTTTCTTGTTTTCTTTCCTTAATTTTTCCTTTTATTTTTCTAAGGAGCAATTAAGGCATGAAATGGTGTTGGAGATCAAGAAATTAGGGCGTGTTTCCTTGATAGATCTTGCGGATATTACTGGCGTTGATTTATATCATGTCGAGAACCAAGCTCAACGAGTCGTTTCGGATGACCCGAGCGGGCTGATGTTGATTCAAGGAGAAATTATTTCGCATTCTTATTGGGACAGTGTTGCTGAAGAAATCAATGAGAGGCTTCAAGAATGCAGTCAAATTGCTTTGGCGGAAATCGCAGCTAACTTGAATGTTGGCTCTGAACTTGTGGCTTCCATGTTGGAAGCTCGCCTCGGAACTCTGGTATCTTTCTTGTTTCTTTCTTGAATGTGATATGGTTGTCGGAGGGAAAAGAAGTTGAAAGTTTTGGCTGAGATTTTATTGGCATTTAGGTGAAAGGTAGGCTTGAAGGTGGACAATTGTATACACCAGCTTATGTTACTCGTGTTAGCGCCATGGTTCGTGGTGCTGCGAGGGGTGTTACCGTTCCTACAAATTTGTCTTTTTTGTGGGGAACCCTGCAGCAGTTGTTGCAAGCAATGGATGGAGCTGGTGGTGTGGCTACTGAAAGTTCATTTTTCCAATCCTTATTTAATGGGCTGGCGAAGGAAGGGGAGATTCTTGGATCACTTCGAGCAGGAGTTCATTGGACTCCAACTGTATGTTTATGATTTCTTCGTTTTGGTTTATAATTTTATATCACATGTGCTAGAGATTAATCTTTTTTAGATAGCGAATTTGGTTGTGGGTGCTAAGGAACGTGAAATGCTTCAAAAATTATTTTCTGTTAACTAATGATGGTTTTTTTTTTTTCCTGAAGTATTTATGTAAGCATTTCAATAAAATTAAGGACTATCTAAAGGGTACTATCTACAGTTTTAACTTAACCAAGATAGTTTTTTATCTTCAGTAAATCTTGTGATGCATACAGTTTTCATGATAATTTGACTGGAAATATTTATAGTTCGAGGGGAAAAACCTATGAGATAGTGAATTTAGTTGTGGGTGGTGAGGAACATGTGTACTGCTTCAAGACTTATTTTCTTGCTTTATCACATTAAATGGCATACTGTTTCCCTCATTGATTTTAATTGTGCTACAGGTGTTTGCCACTGCTCAAAGGGAGTGTGTAGATTCTTTCTTTTCTCAGGTTTGGAACTTAATTCTCCTACCCAATATTAATTTTGTAATCTCTAGATGCTCATATTGATGTTCTGCATGTTTCACACATGATGTTACTCAAAAGCTTGTTTGATCATATGGTTTGCTGTCTCTATGGTTGGAATGTAATCTGTATTTTGAATTATAAGACTTGGTTGATCAGTCTTTTATCATCTTTTTCCCATCCTATTGCACCAGGGATGCTGATTTTTTAGCTATCATCTCCATCTTAATCACTTGTTATTTTCCCGCTTGCAGAATTCTTTTATCAGTTATGATACTCTGCAAAAGCTTGGAATTTCCCAGCCTGTTCATTTCTTGCAGGTACTTATGTTGAGTTTATGTCTGAAATTTGGATTTGTTTTCTTTCGAGTTTGTAGAATTTATGTGAATAACTTCTTTATACTTGAGAATTCTTCGTTGTTTGTCTTATCAAAATTTGTGGTCTTCAAATCCAATATAGTCCAGATATGCTGAAGGTATACCTCTGGTAACTGCATTTGCTCATCCCTCAATGATTGAGATGTTGGATGCTGCTGTTGAGGATGCTATTGACCGTAGTAGCTGGTGAGGCAATATTTACCTTTTCTTTCCTCTTTTTTCATTTTTGTTGATTTAATTTAACTATGAAATGGTTTGCTTCAGATTGTTGATTGAAATCGTTTTCTTGATATCTTTATTTGTATGCCGTTTTCATCTTTGTGGTTTGGTTCAATATGACAGCATTGTCCAGGTTTTCTTTGACCCATATTAATTGAAATGAAAGGTAATAAAATTATACCACTATATCCTAATGCAATATGAATCATAGACAGGTCATATTTGAGGGTTGAAATTTGAGAATATATGTTTTTCTAGTTGAATTTCATGTTCTTTATTTTTCCATCTATCAAGAGAAAACAAAGTACTGTTCTAGTTTTTTTATTCTTATACTATTTGCTCTGACTAAAAAATAACCCAACATGTTTATTGTCATCATCTATCATTGTATCAGCTCCCTTTCATCACGTTGTGCTCCTATCAATTGGTTGCTTATTACTTCTGCTGATAATCTGATGTACCTGCTTCAGTTTTCACTGCAGCTATGACATGTGTTATGATTATCATTGATATTTCTTGTTATTTTATTCACAAGAACATGACTTAAAATTCAGTCGCACATTTCTTATGGGTATCAATTCATATGAACAGCAGAATTTTCTCTTAGCACATATGTGAATGCAGGTTATTTGTGCACATTGTGAAGACTAAATTGATTTTATGGATGATTGCAGGATTGATTCTCTTTCTGTATTACCCACTTCTTTTGGATCCCAAGATGCTTCTAAGATTTTGTCGCATTGTAATTCTGTTCAGTCAGCACTCAAGGTGACATTTTTGCCATGCCGATAATTGTTCATTTCTATCATCGAGTGAATTATTATTTTTTTCATTTTCTTTCTGATTTTTTTCAGGGTAATAAAGGAATGATCCTGGGGGATTCATATGTATTTAGCAATGGTTTTATCAAGGTTTGACTCTAAAATTAATATTTGATGTAATAAGGTAGAAGGGCTTACTGCTTATATTTCACTATTTCCATTGATAATAGGAAATTGTTTCTGAACTACTTAAAGATTGTTTCTCATTGTTGTTCATGTCCACTTGCATCCATTACATATGCTATATATATTTTTCACATAGAAAAATATATAAATACATTGTTTAGATACATGAAGCAGCAGGAGTGCTGACAATAGTGTCCGGTTGGCCCTGTTAGTATTACTGGCTTATCAAGCTTGATTGACCTAATTCTCAGCTGGTGGTGCTAAGTAATGGTCAGGATGTTTTAAAAATGTAGAGTCAGAGATGTGTAATGATAATCCTTTCTAGGTTTTCATCATACTGTATTTGATCTATCACTTTTCATTTTTGGTAGTCTTTTATTTTGATCATTTTCCTGGAAAGCACTCAAAACCCCTCCTACTCTATCTCCCTCTCCATCTTTGTGTGCACTTGGTGGATCTATTCTATGCATGTTTTGCTCCTATAATTTGTTTTTCTTTTGGGTGCAGTGTATTGTTGAACCAAGTTTATTCATTTTCTTATATCATTCTTTGTTTTCATTGGGATTCCGATGCCTCCAGCCTTGTCTCCTGCAATTTGAGGGTTTTCATGTGTTGTTTATAACTGCTTGATCTCTCTGTGGAATTCTGATTCCTGCAACCATATATTTTTTGTTGCTAGGATGTTTATGATCGGATGGAGAAAGAGCTGGATGTCTTTAGGCTCTCAGGGTCATCTGGTGTTATACTGAGTGATGACTTTCATTTGGTCATGGAAGCTAAAATTAGAACTGATTCCAGCCGGTCTGGTGAAGTAAATGAGAAAAAGAAGAAAAAGGGGAAATCATCTGGAGCAAGAACTGAAATCCTTCTAGATGATGAGGAAATTATTCCTTTGAAATCTAAGAAAAACCAAAGGAAAGGCAAGGAGGCATCTTTGGTCCTGTCTGATACAAAAAAGGGAGCTAAGAAAGATTTAGCTAGAACACAAGAGGATGATCTTAACATTCCTTCTGATGATTGGATAATGCAAAAGATCCTGACTCTGATTCCTGATTTTGAAGAGCAAGGTCTGTTCATTTTGCTAATGATTCCTTTTTGTTGCTATTGTCTAGCTGATTTGGCGTTGATGTCATATCATGTTCTAACTGGTGAAGTTAGCTGATCTGGCAGGTTTGGAAGATCCACAGACAATTCTTGGACCTTTAGCTAACTATATGAGACCTATGTTAATTAGTTCCTTAAAGGAGAAAAGAAAGACATTATTTACAGAAAATGCTGGGAAAATGAAGCACCTGCTTGATAATTTACAAAAGAAGCTTGATGAGGTTAGCACAATTATGATTGCAAATTAATTATCTACATCCAGTATTTTGACATTCCTCTGATTTAGTGTTTTGTACAATGTGCTTTCTTGGTAATGGAGGCTGTGATTGGTTCTTATAGTTCTGGCAACTCTTTGAGATGTAACTTCCTTTTTGCAGGCTTTCTTAAATATGCAACTGTATGAAAAGGCACTAGATTTATTTGAGGATGACCAATCAACCTCTGTAAGTTCTACTTCTTCCTATATTAATTGATATAAGGAAGTTAATATTGGATAGATTAACCACCCAAACAACTTGCTATTTTGTGATGAAATGGAATAAAGACAAGCCTTGTTTATGGTTTGCAGGCTGTCTTGCACAGGCATTTGTTAAGAACAATGGCTGCTTCTATTGGAGATATGCTTTTTCATAACTTGGTAGCACCCATTCCTCTGATTTTTTCTTACCACTGACGTGGTTTCAGTAAATTAAGATATATAATTTGAAGGATGGTCTGATGCTTGGACTTGATGTAAATGTAGGACATGCACAACAAATTAAAGAACGGAATTAATGTTGAAGAGTCTCCAAATTCAGAATCTATCATGCTTGGTTCCGCAGAAAGAACTGCTCTTGTATGAAACATTTGCTGCCTTGCTTTGTGCTTTATGAAACTGGTCAGAAGTTTGGATATGCTAAATGATCTCCTCTATTATGTACTCTCATTCCTCATGCAGGCAAAAAGCTTTCCAGGATCCCTTTCAAAAAAGGCTCTTGCAGTAGTTGAAGCTTTGGAAGGGAAGGTTAGTTCTTGTTAGTGAAAAGTTCCTCTTTCCATTTTCAAGAGTTATTTAAATGAAGAACATGTCCTTTAACACTTCGCTCCCTTTTTGGTTGGGTGGAGGGGAGAGAGCAGACAGGTGCTGATGTGACTGGGGGTTAGGGGATCAGAGAGGGCAAAGTAAAAACTATATTTTGCTGCTTGCAACAATATTCTGGTCCTCTCTCGCTCTGATGTAGGTTGGGAAGAAAAAAACCTCAAAATCAGCATTTACAGCAAAAGGATGTGTAAAACATGAATAAAATTTAAGTTGGAACGGGATGATAAGGTTTAGTATTGAGAGAGAAACTGTTAAAATCTGATTAGGTTGATGAGAAACAAAAGACATCCTGTAAAATAGTTCTGCAAAGCCCATTTATAATAGTCAAAATCCCTAATCCTAATCTTATCCTTGTAAGGAAAATAAATCCCTAATCAAATAAGCCACATGCTAATGGCATGACACTGGAGAATCCAAATAATATAGGGATTTATAACTGAAAAAGAAAACTATAATTAACAAGAAAAATATTGTAATGCTCCTGCTTCTCTCTCTCTTGTGGCGGGTTGGCGGGTGGACAAAACACTAGTAGCTAACTCATCAACTCTTTACACCCTAGACCTGATTCAAGTCTGAGCATGTTTCAGCTGAAATCATTGGATTCAACTACCAATAGACTTCTCTAGCCAGCTATCTCATCGTCTGCCTTTAATTTAAAAAATCTAGGAGATATTTGTTCTTATCTACTTTTGGCACTTTTGTACAATGTTTAATCCCAATCATTCTACTGAGCAGCGGGTGGAAGCTTTCATGACGTCACTAAGAGAGCTGGCAGAGGAGAGGTAGTTTTGTTTGTGCTATTATTATAATTTTATTTTAGAACTGCCTTCTTTTCTCGGAACCTGACATTTACATTTTGGATTCTGTTTTTTTTTCAGTGGGTTGCACTTGAAAAAGCTTGACAAGAAATTGGAAAGAACTCTTCTGCACTCATACCGCAAGGTACGCATGCTTTGTATAGGGGGAAAAAAAGAAAAAAAAAAGATCAGAGTTCTCATATCCACAAATGTGTTTACTTGGAAAGTTCACTATAAGTATCATATCTTCTCATCCTATAAAATATCGAGGAAGCTATTTTGGACAGCTTTTTTACAGTGTTCAAGTATTGATATATTTATTTGTTGATTATAAAGTTGACATAAAATCCAACATTAGATTCATTGCTTTTTTTAACTAGTTCCATTGTGATGAATCTCTGTAATTTATATTTTTGCTTATTTAGCAGTTGGGTCTTTTGCAAGTGGGTGACTTGCAACTTTGGATGGAAATATGACATATGCACTCATTTGGATGTCTGTTTTGATTGCTATTGTCAGGATTTGACAGCTCAAGTTTCTGCTGAAACTGATCCAGTTCTTCTTCTGCCTAAAGTTGTTTCCCTGCTTTATATTCAGGTTCTATCTCTGGATTCTATGCAAGTATGGCAACTTTTATAGCTTTTTCACTTCTTGAACATGAATTTTCTGCTGCAGGTTCGCAATAAAGCTCTTCAGGCCCCTGGAAGGGCCATTTCTGTAGCTGTTTCTCGATTGAAGGTATGTGGCATTCCTGATATTTTACTAATTAAAAATGCATTTTTCAAAGTGCGTTTGTGTTGCAATGCATTTGAAGCCCCATTTTTTTTTTTTTTTCAAAACTTAGTTTTACTTTGGTCACTGTTGTGGTGATAGAACTAGAGTGTCATTATGTATGGTGCAATTCTGTACCAGCGCTTGGAGGCTATGCGATGCTCTCCAGCTCCAGACGTGGCTTATTTGGATGGGGTTTTCAAATATTTGCCAACAATTTTTAATGATGAGAGGTAGAAGATGCTGGTCTAAGTGGAAACTGACTTAAGGATGAGTGCCATATGTTTTCATTTTGTTGATAGATTCCGGACCACCTCAAAATCTTGTTTTGTGAAGATATCAATTGCTTTTGGTTTATCCATGTGCAATGAAAGGTGAATGTGATGTACATGTATGACGAAGGAGAAGCAGAATTCCTATAGGAGAGGGATTAAATAGAAGAAAGACAGTAAGATAAAGCAGAGAAGAGATAAGTCCCATAGCATACGGATAAATAGAGAAGAGAATGGTAGTAGCAAATACAAATAGCAATTCTCAATTCAATTATCATTTAGTCTTCTTAAATCATGAAAAAGGTGTTCTTAAATAGGCATCTAAAGCCTAGTAGGATCCTGTTTAATGTAGGAAATTAAATAAAAGTAATTAAAATCGAAGAATTCTAATTGACTAAAATAAAATAAAATAAAATAAAATAAAATAAAACAAGATATTGAAGCTTATTTTCATATAGCTGGTTCCCCATCAGAATCTTTTGCTATATTCTAATAGGTAATGTCATGCTGAAAATCAGTTTCCATTTGACATACTTCTATTCATTTTCAAGGACTACATAAATTGCCGAGTGCTCTCTCTCCACAAGGGAGATGGGGAACGTTATTTTGAATTTGTTGAAATGTTTTTCTGCTATATGGTGGTATTGGAAAACAATTTTGTCACATCTTATATGCCACTGAAAGAAAATGTGGTTTTATTATTTTATCAGCCTGTCTTGTATCTAGGTAGGTCCTTCTGCGACATTTTGACTGTCCTGCAACAATTGGAGTATAAATTGGGATGTTGCAGTGTAGAAGTTTTGCAGGTTGTTTCTTTACATGTTATATCATTTGCAGTGTAGATGCATCTGTTTTTACTTGCATGTTTATGGCCTGGATTCTTTGGTGTTGCCATTTGTCTTTGTTGGAAACTTGGAAGTCAGGGTTTGAATGCAAATTGCCTGTAATTTAAGTCACTGGTTATTCAATAACTCACCCAAATAGGTTGGATTTCTTCCATTCATATGCTATTGTAGTGATGTAAAACAGGCTTTAAAGTTGTGTTTTTCCTTTTTTTTTATTGTTTTTTTTTATGACTGTTTAAATTGGACTTTCAAAACCCAAGAATTCGTTTACTTTTCAGCTTTGGACTCATGACCTTGATTGTTTGTTATTATTATTATTATTATTATTATTATTATGTACCATATCACTTCTTGGCAACTTTCCTGGCATTACTTGATTTTTATTTTTATTTTTTGTGGGAAGTTTTGTTTATTACATGCTTTCTGCTTTAATGCCATTGTTTCCAGGACAAACTAGATGATTCAGCATTCAAGATCCTGACAGAATATCAAACTGCTACAGTAACACTTCTGTCGCTTTTATCTGCTTCGACTGGTGATGTGAGTAGCATCTGTTTCGGCCTTCACTCTCTATTCTTGGTTTGGCACATTTATCTTTGTTACATTTGCCCCTCGTGATTCTGGGTTCGGTAAATTATAAATATTTTTGTCACTTGTCGCAAAACTTGCAAGGAAAAACTTGCATAGTCGCTTGCTTTTGCAAAGAAAAAAAAAGTGTCGACACAGGATAAGAAAGGTTTGTGCATCCTGGTAATGAGTAGAGGTTGTGACAGCTCTAGTTTCTGAAACATGTTTAGTCTTTTATGTGATGCTAATTGTTACTGTCTGTATTGTTTTTTCTGTTTTCATCAGGAAGAAGACTGTACATCTGACAGGATTTTAAGTAAAAGGGAGCTCCTGGGGAACTTGATGCCAGCATTGAAAGGCCTAGTTTTGGGAACCGCTCAATCTTGACTTGAACTGATTTCAGATCTTTGGCAGCTGGAAAAATCTTCTAAAAGTGAAGGTGTTAATTTACCATTGTAGGTGACCATCTCTTAGCAACCAGCTTGATTTAGAAAAGACGGATCTGCGAAATAGTTAGTTCAAGATTAGGGTTGGTTGGTTCATAATAGGGTTATAAAGGTGGGAACATGATTAAAGGAGCAGCAGCATTTGAGGCAAAATTATGAGGAACCTTGTAACATCCTTGTGGTTGCAAATGATTTCTACTAAAAAGATTCTTGTCATTTTTCAATCACAAAAGCAAACAGATCTTATCGTTGCTTTTGTCTCTAAAAGTTTTGCTTGCAGACAATAAATTTTATCATTAGCTGTTCTTGAAAGTTGCTTCTGTGTCAGATGGAGCTAAAGATAATTGTTAGGCTAAATTGGACACTTTCAGATGCCACGTGACATGTGATTTGATAAACTTTTAAGAAATGGAGTCAGTCATGTGTACACATGCCACCCCATAATTGATGACTGCAACTTTAAATGTCAAATCAAACAATTTTGTCAGGGATTGTTTTTCTTTCTTCAAGACTAGTGGTTTTTTTATCAACAATTATACATTTTAACTTATTATCTATTTAAAAATATTATTTTATTATTTTTAATAATTTATTTTTGATACGAGTATTTTAAAGTGTATTAAAATAATTTAAAATTTTAAAAAAATCAAAATATTTTAGAAACACAGTGCAATTCCATGAGTTTAATTGTTATTCATGAGATTTGTTTTTATATGAATTCAATCTAATCATCTTCTTTTTTATCATTTTGAATAATAAATTATATTTTCAACAACTTGAATGACGCGCGTGCGCCATACGATTGAACTCGAGGGGTTTTGTGATAAAATTTAAGGGGCTAAACAGTACTTAACAAGATAAGGTTGAAAAAAAATTTGGCCCTATATTAGTTAAGCAAAACTAAACTTAATTATCCAACATTTGGATAGAATTATTTTTTTTAAATGGGACCATATCGGAAAATGGCCTTGCTATATTGCTGACATGATTGAGAAAAGTTGATGGCCGAACCTATCTTCTTCTTCTTTTCTTTAGCGAGAAAAACTTTTGATACAGTAGTAGCAAACATAATATATATTTTATTGATTGAGATAATGACGGAAAAATAAAAATAGAAATAAAATTTATAATTTTTGAAAATCACAACAAGAGAATTAATTCAGATTGAAATCAAAGGCGAATAGTAAAAACAATAACATTAAATCAAGGGTTGCATTTTTATTGTTATTGGCTTTACAACCATTGTGATTTTTAAATATTATTTAGTTGTAAATAAAACAACTTCGACCTTTTTTATCATTAAAAAGCTATGAATAAATTATGATTTTTTATAAAAATAATATTAGAAGAACTTGATTCATCATTAAAAAATTATGAAAAATAACATATTTTGTTGGTTAAGTAAACTCGTTAAACATGTAAGTTAAATATATAAATAGAATAACTTGGGCTAGTATGCTAGACACGTGAATGGAGTTATGAATTCTACCGGAATTATTTAAAAAAATATATTTATTATTTAACTATATAATAAAAAAAATATGCTATCGCAAAATCTAACACTAACTTAGTATCGAGATATCTTTTAAAACTGTGATAACCTCATAAAAAATAAAAATAAAACCAATTATAAAATTAAATTCTCAATTAAGTCAATACTTAAGGATGAAATGGAAAACAAAAAAGTTAAACTCACCAAACTCGTACATCAAGTCAATCAGTCAAACTCGTGAACAGCTCCGTGAACTTTATAAAGTTTTATAACATGATTTTCTCTTAAACTAATTTTTTTAACTATATGAGAAAAGGAAATAGATGATAAAAAAAATTATACTTAAATTAAAAAATAAAAAAGAAAATAATGATATCCTATCAAACCCATAAACTAGGACAACCAAGATTATCCTAACAATCTATGCTAACCTTATAAAAAAATAAATTAAAAAGAAATAAATTATAAAGCTAAATTCTCAAACATCTCAATATTTAAAGATAAAATTGACAAAAAAAATTTAAAAAAAAATCATAACAAAACATGAAGCAAAAAAAAAAAGAAAAAACAAGTAAAATAATATAATCTACAATGTAATTGGTGTGGGAGAATAGTAGGTTACTCAACCTTTAGTTTTTATTACTTTATACATATTAATAATATTAATAATATGACTTTTCCCTGCACCTTTTTTTTTAAACTATAAAAAAGAGAAAAATAAACTATAAAAAACTTAAGTTTAATTAAAAAAAAAAACAGAGAGAGAGAGACCCATCAAACCCATAAAATTAATGAAATTTGAGTTATCTTGATCAACTTACAAATCATATTAACTATATAGAAAGGTAAAAAAAAATACTAATGAAACCAACCATAATTGCAATTTTGATAAAGTTTGATTTATTTATTTGCATGTGATGAAAAATTGATGGTGGTAACAAACATAATATATATTTTCTTGATTGAGACGAAGAAGGAAAAATAAAAAGAGAAATACATTTTATAATTTTTGAAAATTAAAAAATAAAGGTCAAACTATAAAAAAAAATGATTGGATGATGAAATTGAAAGGAAAAAAAAATTCAACAAAAGTGCAAAGGAAAAATATAGAAATTTAGAAATTTAAGAACCGAAATGAAAAACCAAACATATGAGAAATTACAATTAGATAACTAAATTGAAAATAATAAAAAATTTTATAAATAAAAAAGAAATGAAATAAAAAATTAATAGAATGAGGGTTAAAATTGAAAAGTAAAAAGTAAAAGGATAATAGTGTGCATTACATAGTAGGAGAGAGAGAAGAAGAGAGGGAAAATCAAACGATCATTAGTTACAATCCAACTACTTCTATTAAAAATAAAAGAGGATACGACAACACATTTAGAAAAATAATGAAAAACTAGTCATGTTCATCTAGTGGCGTCACACATACCACCTAAAATGATGCTAACATTATCCACGCATTAGGACGTGCTCAGCATGTTCTTGGGTTTTAAAATTTTAAAATTTTTTTAAAAAATATAAAAACATTAAAATGTCCATATGATCCTGAAAATCATACAAGATGCTTATATAAAAGTATAAATATATCCTTTTAATGTTAAGTTTATGTTTTGTTTTTTTTATTATATATTAAAAATTAAAAACCTCAAAACACTCTTTTCTAGCAGTATAATAAATTTTTTTTTCTATTACGCTTTTTAACAATTAAGAATATTATGCAAAATCCAAAAAATTCTTGGCTAATAATTTTATATTTTATTAATTGGGAGAGCAAAATAATATTTATACGGTAAAAAAGAAGAAGAAGAAGAGATAAAGACATCAACATCCCATGCGATAGGCTTAATTTTTTGATACCAAAAACCATAAAAATAATTTTATTGTCATCCAAAAGACATTGTACTATGAATGTAGCTAATTTCCCGGGCAATTAATACATCTGCCAAGTGACAATATTTAATTATCTCCTTGACGTGTGTAGTTTTGATTCTTGCTCCTGATTTACTTTACAGCCGCCACGTCCAGTTGCTTAAATTGTTTTATTTTTATTTATTTATTTAGTTTCGCAGGATTTCTTTGTTTAAAAGTTTATTTTTATTTATTTTTTTGCTTACGAATGGCGTGCACGTAGATAGCTTGAATTCAGCAAGTGATTGGCCTTCTAAGGCATCGCGAAACGTATAGGTATTAGGTAATAATTAAACATCAATTATTTAGCTTAAATCAATATCAAGTCAATGCTTAATTATCTCTTACAGCGTTTCCTGCATGAAGACCAAGTCAAACTCGTGATGGAAGAAATGAAAATGAGGGGAGGAAAGATAAACCAATTGATTTTACTCCTTTTTATTTGAAAATAGTTTTTTTCTTTTTTAAAAAAAAAAAGTCAAGAAGGAAAAACGGGAGGAAAATAATTTCTCATTAGTAGGAAACGTGGGGAGGAAAATTGGTTATTGTTTGGCCCGTTTGTCTATATAAAAGTAATTTTTTTAGAAAATAAATTTTTAGATAATAAATTTCAAAAAAATAAATTATTTTATGATATGTGATAATATAATAAAAAATAAATTGAAAAATATTTTTCAGTATTTGGTTATATCATGAAAAATAAGCTGGAAAATAACTTATTAATATTTTATTTTTTTCAAATTTATTAAAATAATAAGGAGCAAATCTTACAAATTAAAAAAATTGAATAAGAATAAAATTAAAAAAAAATATAATTTCATAAATTATCTCAAATAAAATAAATAATAATCAAAATAAAAAAAATTAAATTTGAAAAATAAAAAAATTAAAAAATAAAGAAATTAAAATAATAATAGTTAACATTTCATGAATTATTTCAAATAAAATAAGTAATAATCAAAAGAATGAGAACCAAAGTTAATATAAAAATTAAATTTTAAGAGATAAAATTAAAAAATAAATATTCAAAACAATATATATATATATATATAGTAATCAAAGGTTTGAGGATCAAATAATATAATATTTTTAAATTTTTTATAATTTTTAAAAAATATTTTTAGTCCAAATTTTTTAAGAAAATATTTTCATAAAAATTAAACTTTTTTTAATTAAAAAATATTTTTTATTAATTAAATTTTTTAATAATAAATAAATATAAAAAAATTTGAAAAGCAGTTCCTCAAAATTCATATTTCAAATGAGAAAGATGGCCTTGGTCTCTTAATATCTCATAAATAGCATTAATACGTAAATTAAAGAAGTATCTTGTATTTTGACTGGCTTTTATCATTAAACGTCTTTGTTATTATTATTATTATTTTTTTATAGTTCGGTTTCATAACTTTCTGTTTTTAAATAGAAAATACACATAAAAACAATTTATAGTCACAATATTCTTCTTTTTTTTCGTGCAACAATTGAAAATTAATTAACTTCAAAACCAGTAATGGTGGCTAGTTGACTACGATTAAAAGTCCCGCTAGTATAGAAAAAAAAAAAACCATCGTTTTATTCTTTTTATAACACATCGGATTGTCGAGAGGGTTTTATAATCTTTTTGTTTTAATTTTCACCCAACTCAGTGTATAAAAATTATTGAAAAATATAAATTTAATAGTTTTTAAATAAAAAATAATAATCTGAAAAATACTTTAAAAAATATAAGCTAGCACAGTAAAGGGCAAGCGTAAAAGACTCTATTTAATAAACCTCACATTTTATTATCCTTGTGGCAGAATGAAAAACGAGGATAGGTCTCCATTTGCGACCGAACTCAGGGTGGGGTTACTTAGTTACTAGCTGCCCTAGACGTACCTCCCTTCCTTCAATTTAAAGTTATCTT